CATTTATCAAAAGCAATTCTCTCTCTCTCTTTTTTTCTCTCTCTCTCTTTTTTCTCTCTCTCTCTCTTTTCTCTCTCTCTCTCTCTCTCTCTCTCTCTCTCTCTCTCTTCTCACTCTTTCTTTGACTTTTCCAAACATTTTAGATCTCTATTAAAATTCTGGTCCAAAGTTATTAAATGAATGTTATATTATATAACTTATATTATATTTTGTATTTTTCAAAAAAGTCTTTACAAATAGCTTTTATATATACTTTGCCTCCAAATATATGCAATGAATGAAACTTCGCATAAATTTTAGTCCAAAGAATTAATCTCTAGTCTCACTCTCTTTGCCTAACGTTTTATGAAATAATATTTTCACTCTCTATTGGATTAGATTTTTAAGTTTATAATTTAAAACTGTTTTACATATTTATACCGATAGAGGTATGCTATGATCAGTAAAAATGCATTTATAGCCCAAAATATACTCTCTATACTGAGTGATTCCCCCATAACCTCGAGTGGACCCAAACCCACACCCCCTCTGTAGTTATAACACTATGTTTGTTGAATAACTCATTAAATAGTTGTGAGTTCTCATCAAAAAATCTGAGTTCAATCTGACTGACTCTCCGATAGTTACTATAAATTTAAGTCAAACTTTATTGCGACAAAACTTTCATTACATCCACAGTCAGTCGTCATGTCTGTAGTCGAGGCAATAATTAGCATAATTTCCTCTCTTTTACTCTAATATTCAGTCTCTCTCTCTCTCTCTCTCTCTCTCTCTCTCTCTCTCTCTCTCTCTCTCTCTCTCTCTCTCTCTCTCACTAACTCAGTCACTCACTCACTCTCACTCTCTCCCCAACTCACTTACTCACAATTGTCTCTCAATATATATTGTATAATACAACTATAGTTTGTCGTGAAATTTTCCCCAAAATTTTGCATCCTTTCAATTGAAACAATCTCTCACTCATTCACTCTTAAAATAAATGATAAAATGAGAAATTAATATTTTCACTTTTATAATTTATTATATAACTAAAAATAATCAGATTTTTCAGTATATTAGGATTATTTGCATTATAATTAAATTAATAAATACAAAAAATACACGTCTATAAATAATAGTTGAAAAATATTTATTAGAAAATTAGTATTAAAGTAGAGAATATATATATAAATATAAAAACAAACTATAATTAAAAAGTGATTTCATTTGTAAATATATATATATATATATAGTGTATATGGTTTTGAAGGTTGCCTTTTAGGGTTCACAAACATTTCATATCCTTTGAAATGTCATTTAAATTAATGTTTATTTTAATGAATCCTTGAATGAAAAACAACATTATGTAATACACTATAATTTTATAAATCTTTTGGTTTAATTATTAAAATGCCTTTAATATTGCCTATAATTTATATATTGAACTTTTCCAATAAATAATTTGATATAATTTAATATTTATATTTTGTATTAACAGTTTATTTGTTTGCCAACAAATATTTTTGGTTACCATTTCAATGCACTCTCGCTTCTCATATAAAACCTTAACCCCGTTTAGTACTACAACACTGTAAATATGTGTTATTAGTTTTGGCATTGAAATGATGAGAGAGAGAGAGAGAGCACCGACTCTTGACATGTCTGTACATATGAAACGGTATTCCTGTACTCAAAGGGTGTTTTCCAGCCTTCAAAACCACTTTTTATGTCTCTTTTGGCTCTAAAACTCGTTCGCATAACACATGTGTTTATGTTTGAGGCCAAGGACTCAACCCATACCCAGAACTTCAAAATCTTTTCCCTATTTTTGCATTTTTTACTCTTTTTTGAAGACATTCTTCAGAAACTTATTTTTTTATATATATTTTTATTGTTGATTTTGACTACACTATAGGCTGGGCTCAGACATAACTTTGAATAATAGCTATGCATTTAAAAGCAAATTTCATACAAACCTGTGAGCCATGAATTGAAGGCTAATATTGTATATATATTTTTTATTCTTAAAAGGGATGACTAAACAAAAATATTTTTGTCGATTTTTTGAAAATATCATCAAATAAAATATTTAAAAACATATATAATTTATTTTTATACAGTCACTTATATTCACTTATACTGATATGTATCATCATTATATCATTATCAACATAATTATTATTAGTATTTAGAAAATCAAATTAAAACTCGTTTTATCTTAAAATTGCATAAAATTTGGCAAAAAATTCTAAAATCTTTTTTTTTCGTTTATTAAAATGAAAAGTTATTGAAAGTTATTTTTAATTTTGCCTATTCTTAGATTAAATGCAGTTATAATTTGCAAAATGATATATCTTTTGATGTTTTATTTGATAAATTGCTTGAAACTTATAAAGATTTATTATGTAATCATTTATTGCACAGATACACATATAATTCTCTACATATAATTTATATAACATTTACTTCATTTAATACATAAGTTATAATACAGTATACACTGTACACAAAAATTATATATTTATTTGTAAGACAAAAATAATTTTTGTTAAGTTATAAAAGCGATCATAAATTGTAATCTAACAAGAAGTGTAGCATTTTTACACTCATATATATCTTATATAATAATAGTTAGAATTATTTATTGGTTATTCAGTATAAAAGTTATGAATTTTCAAATATTTGTGATTTTTGTTTGTATATTATACTGTATATATATATATATATATATGTCTGGGCTGAGGACCCCTTCAAGAAAAATGTATATAATTTTTGTTTACCTTATAGTCTGGTCAGACAATATTTGCCCGGAGCACATATTATTATCGCTAAAGTGTTTATAATAATAGTTTCAGTCATGTATTGCACTTTTTCTCACCCCTTTCCCCAATATTTTTCCTGTCCTCCAGACAGGGCTGGACTATGGGGCTTAAGACGCTTACTCATAGCATATGCAATATATAATAAGTTGTATATATATATGAAGGTCTAAGTGTAAGCAACACTAAGTGTATAAGGCTATACTATAAGCAATGAACTGTTGACCTACAACTGAGTGAGGGGTCAGTAAAATATGGATATAGAGGACCACTAAAAATATGTACCAATAGTCTGGAAGGCAATCACCACAAGCAATGAGTTTAAGGAAGTATTTGGGTTCGAGAGGGTTAACGGGACTTCAGTGCAGACAGACTTTATCATCCTTACAACCATTGATTTCACCCCCTTTTTCATGGCTTCAACCCATTTATTACTTAAAAAACAATTACTTTTATCATTCAAATGCACTAAAAAAGTGTTTTTTGCTTTGTTTTTCTCTTACTCATTGTTTCTCATGTCTGGCTTAATGTTTTTGACCTCAAAATAGTCACAAAAAAAGTAATAGCAATTCATTTGGTCAATGGCTGCGAAACCCTTTAAAAGCGTTTTTCTCAAATAATTGTCGTATAAGTCTATCGTTAAGTGAAATCTGTTGAAAAGCTAACAAAACTGTTGTTTGCATATAATGTAAATTTACAGTAAATTGAGGTCAACTCAACAAATACTGTATAAATATATGAGAAATACCAAGTGATGGCTGTGTTTTTAAGATCAATAGAAAAATTTGTTAGTTTGAAGATAACCAGAGTTACTGTATTGCAAACTATAACTTACAGAAAAATAAATTTTTTTTTAATTAACTGATAATGAATTAATGGATATTGTTTAGTGAATAAATATTTATAATAAAAATAATTTTTTATGTAACTTATGTGCTTTTATGATATTTTTCTCAAAATTATTTCAATAATACCGAAGCCCTTATTGTTAATGTCTGGTAATAGCTTCGGGCAAAGTTAGTATAGTTATGTTATATATTACTGGACAGACATTAAGCACTGATCCCTCATTTTAGTGCTAAATCTTGTGTTTGGCTCTTATTTTACATTACTTTTGTGTTGTTAACTCTTTTTCTCGGAATATGTTTGGGTATATTTGCTATCGATTCCTCTTTTTTTTTTAAAGGAAATGGGGTTCAAATGGCTTTGACTAACATAGGCATTGAAAACATACATTCAAACACACACTCACTCACACACATACACACAGACTACTAAAGTTGTTAAATGAAAGGGTGAAACATTTTTTTCACTCTTTTTATGTGATCCCTAGTATTAGTCCAATACCAGTGAACTAAGTTTGTATTAGTATTGGTTGTAAATTTTTTACGACAATTTACAGTCAAACAGTTGGTGTTACGGATATTGTGACCTATTTTTTCCGTCAAACTTTCAAAAAATCTAGTATTGAAAGCATATATTTTTTGAAAAAAAGAGTTAAGAGAGAGTGTATATTGAAATTGAATTAATGTTTTAGACATATCCACCTAAAAATGTCGAAGAGATGGTATGGCCTATGAGTTTGACATAAAGAGCGAAAAAAGAGTAAAAATCTATTTTTTTGTGTGAGTTTAGTGTCTTATAAACAGTCAATCTGTTTGTCTGTATGTCTGTATATGTCTACAAATGTCTGTAACCCTTACACACTGTGACTGATAGTTATCAACGAAAAAATGTGGTATTTATTGAATATTTCATTCAATAGATGCAAATATTTCAGTGAAATCATTACGTTTTATATCCTTAATAAATTTTATTATAATTTTATATTATTATTATTATTAACCCGAACATTACTAATATCGTAATTTTAAAAAATAATGTTATTTTTTAAGTGTTGAATTTGTGTAATATTGAATAATATATTGTTGTTATATCTAATCACCATGGTTAATTATTTAACTATTTCATGCTATAAATTATAATTCTAAGAATTTTAATAATAATAATTATTATTATTAAGGATATGTTTGAATTTGCAAAAAATTATACACATTTGTTTAATTTGTTATTACTCTCATTTAATATCACACTAATTAAATAATAAACTCTTGTGCTGTCAATAATGTAATTTTGTAAAAGTTATCTTATAATGAAATGAAAATCAATTAAAACAAGTTTATAGTTGCATCAAAAAAGTGAATCAACACTTTTATTAATCAAAAATATTAATATTTGGCAACAAATAACATGAAAAATGATTTTTATGTAAGTAAAACAAAAATGAAAAATTAATGTTTATTTAGAAACACTAATATTGTTAGTTTAAATTTATTTTTCTTTAATTGAATTTACAACTAATAATATGTGTAACTAATATATATAATACCTTATATATACATTATATGTATTTTACAAAATATAATCTATTTATGAGAAACGAATCTTAATTTAGAAATGTTACCACAAGTTTCCTATAAAAATTTTTAGTGTATTTAAATAGATATACAATAAATAATTTTAGGGTTCAATGTCATTACACTGTGTTGTCGGGTTATGGGGAATAAAATGGTTAAAAAAAATTTAAAAAGTTATTTATAAATAATATATATTTTAAGTGAGTGAGTAAGTAAGTGAATGATAGAGTACTTAAATATTAAATAAAATAATTTCGATTTTGTTATATAAATTTGATGTGTTATTAATGGATTTACTGATAACTAATAATAATGTAAGAGATGTTTGTATTATTTATTATTAAAAAAAACAAAAATTAATTCTTCATTTAGCTTATCATTAAAATCTCATACATCTAAACAAAATTAATATTTAATACATTTTCTTCATTATTTTGTTGCAATTTTTTGACAAAACAATTTTTTTGAAAACTAAAATTAAATTTATTTTATGATATATTTTTTTTTGTAAAAAGCAATCGATTTTAAAACTTATTTAAAATTTAAAAAACCGTTGAATAAATTATTGTTTTTTAAAACTACATTTTATATTTTAAAATGCATGTTAAGTAAAAAAACATTAAGGCATATGTGTATATATAAACTATTACAATATGAATATTTAAGTTAAAATTAGTAGTGAATTAAGGATTTGTTTTAAATATGCATTAATTATTATACGCTTAAGTATACTGAAAAAGAAGAGACAAATGTTGAAAATGAAGCAAAAAATAAGGGATCAAATGATTATATAGTAAATATCAAGTATTTTAGTTGTTATTTGTTAGTAGAGTTTGAGTACAGTATTAATGATGTGATTTACACGAATCCCATGTGAGCCCATATTTGTCTAAACAAACCATTTGTTTGAATTTAATTTTTACAATTCTCTATACACAAGACATATGTATTTCAATAGGTATCTAAATTTACATTATATACACTGTATATTATACAGTATATATGTATAATAAAGTATATATATATATAAATTTAGTCCAATTTAAACTACAAACTTTCGTATCTAATGTCTGTAAATGTATAATTTTATATACTGTATAGTTGAGTGTCGGTATCTTTTTTGAATCCCAATCCCAAAGAAAGGCAATCGAGTGCTCCAAAGGGAAAATAAAATAAAACTCTGAGCCCATCCTCTATCCGATACATTAATTATATAAAATGTTAAGCTATTTTAATGAATAACATTTTTTATACATTTATAACATTATATGCATACAAAAATTAACTTTAATAAAATGTGATGATTTTGATGTAGTGCTTAACTGATAATATTTTGGAAAAGAGTTATATTTATAATTTAGTTTAACATTTTATGTAAAATAAATCATTTCATTACAATCTTTATCTGGTTATCTGTTTTGAATTATGATTATACTGTATTTAGTTTAATAAATAAATTTTATATTATGATTTGAAAAATAACTATAAGTTTTGTAATAGAAAGGAAAAACTTTTAAAAACTTTTTTGATGACAAATAAATCATTGTATGTTATTATTATTATTATCATTATATACATAACATAAGAGAGAAAAATAATGCTTAAATAATAAGGATATTTAATAGTCGTTATATAATGAGATATGTTTTATAACTTGTCCCTCACGTAAACAAATTAGTTAAATAAAAAGTATATATTTCTCTATTATCAAACAACTTGTGCCGTATTTTTGTGTACTGTATAACATCTAATATGTCTCCCCTTCCCAAATAAAGGTGTACATAAAAAGCAATCCCTTTATGTTATATAATAACAACTCCAAAGTTGTATATATTGTAAATGTTATGTTAGTTTAGTATCAAAAGCTAAATTAAAACTAAGAGCTCTGATATTAAAGGCCTAAAAATAGATGAGCGGAGAAATGGAATTTTTAGCCAACGGGTGGTTTGAATTTGGTTATAAGGTTATAGGGTTCACCAAAATTGGTAGATAGAGTAGGCATAGGGATAGGGATTGCATAGGGATGGTAGGGCTAAGGGCTGATGGCAACGCTTTCTCTATCAATTTATTACAACTATCTAAAAGACACTTCAAGGACGATATTTGACTTCAAAATTGGTCTCAAACGCCATATTTAACTTATATTTATTAGAGATATTTTTTTATAAATAACTTTTTTATATTTGGAAATTTTGAAGCACCTCTTAATATCAATGTATGCCTTACCTCGCAATACATGTTATTTTGTAAACCTTTTCTTTTCTGAGATATTTTAATAATTTGACACAAAAACTAATAGGAATTATTACTTTTAGCCAATAGGACGATCAGTTTGTTTAGTTATTTATCACAAACAAAAAATAAGTAGTTGTTTGTTGATCTCAAACAGTGATATCATTTTTTAAGTGAGAAGAGAGAGAAATTAAATCTTGTTTTTATTTATTTTTTTGAAACTAACTTTATTTTAGTTAAATTTTTCCAAAAGCTTTACATGTAATACAATATTATTATTCAATTAAAAACTCTCATTTAGGCTTTAAGTGCATAGAAATTCAGTCAAATGAGAAAATTCAGTGAAAAAAGTAATAAAATTGTTTGAAAAATAAAATTTTTATTTTTATTACTAAAACAACAAAAAACAAAAACAACTTTTCCCTCTTATAGATTAATTAATACAACAGAAAAACCAGTGCTTTTTAAAAGTGTTTACAATTATTTCAATTGAATTGCTAAACATCATTAACTCTGTTCATTGTAAAACAATGTTTTGATATAATAGACAATTAAAATAATTGTTTGTATGAGTTATGAATATTTTATGATATATATATATACTACCAATATATACAATATAATACAATATACTGTATATATATGTAATACATATTATGTATATTTCAAATTATAAGACAACCCCATGTCTACCCCTACTGGTATCATCCATGAACTTATGTTTACCACTATCTCTATACAAATTATACAATAGTTGAATCAATTTGTTTATAACCCTCAATCCTTGAAAGACATGGTCTATCCTATTGTTGGTTTCGAGGTTTCTTACAGTCCAGACATTGAGTGTAAATCCTATTGCCTTATGTCCAGACAGAGCATAAGGAGTGTTGAGCCCTTCTCTCTCTCTCTCTCTCTCTCTCTCTCTCTCTCCTCTCTTCTCTCATGTCCATCCAAGCAGGTGGTGGTAATATTGGTGTGAGGGTTATATACTATGCAATGGTGAAGTGCACAGTGAATGGGTGGGTCACTGCATGCCAGACAACAAATATGAAGTATTACTTCATATATATATATATACAGTATATAGATATGCCATATGAAAAGCGAGTAGAGTTGTCTAAAGTTATACCAAATGTATTGCATACTTACCCCATAGCCATAGCACTGGGGTTTTCATATTTTTGTGTAATTATTGGCCAAAACATACGTAATGTCCTTCACAGGGCATTGCAATGGGAAAGAATGGGTCTCTTCAAGAAAAAAATCGTGGGAAGAATTGAATGCAACAAATGTCTACTATTTTTTATATATACATATCTTTAGTGGCTATCTTTCATGACTGGACTTTCCATAAGATTTGGCCTAATTTTGAGGCCCAACTACTGAGAAATATATTTGAATTACAAAAAAATGGGTTTCACTCTTCTTTTCAATTTTTTATTATATTAATGTAAAGTAAAAAATACAAACTAAAAGTAATAAATATTATATAAGCGTGAAGGCCATTACCACAAAGTGGGAACGAGAGGTAGGAACAGTAGTGTCAGTGCATATATTGAGCATATTTTTTGACATTTGGTCAAATGGTTGGCACATTTGAATTGTTTGGTCATTTTTTAGACATTCACCGGCTTTTCCTTTTCCAATTTATTTTAGTTTTTTGTGAATTTCACGACTTTAAGGGATATATTAGGCCTCATAAGAGGTACTCATATAGTGAAAGATATTATGTAACAATAGGGTGTAACAGACGGCCAAAGAGGAAGAGGAGAGAGTGAGGGCTAACAACACCAAAGCCATAGACTATGTGTTAGTACTATAATAATTGAAAGTGAAAATAGTTTAGTATTGCATGTATTGCACAACTGATGAGTTATCGCTTTTCAAAGAGCGTCCGGCACTGGACTATAACAGTCTGACCCACTCACTCACTCATTTACTCACTCACTCAATGTAGGCATTACAGCACAACTGTATTATTAGTATTATTATTGTTTGTCTGCTTCTCATGTCTGGCATCTTTAAACTTTGAGATATATTCCAGTACTACGAGAATCCCTTAATGTTTTTTTTGAGCAAACAATAGCTATGTTTTTAAAAGGCTTTACATAATTCTCCACTATTTTTCAATAGTCTGAGAATATTCAAACACTTGCACTCAAATGTTTACATATATTTATGTATTTATAAAAATAGTAGTTTTCTCAAATTGTTTACCTCAATAAAAACATGTCATTTTCTATAGTAACTCAAGGTTTTGTTAAAATTAATGTTATTTTAAAAAAATACTATACTTTTAATTTTTATTATATACATTGTTGACTTTCATGAGTCATTTATATATTGGGTATACCTTAATTATTATGAATAAAGTTATTAGCAATAATTTAAATGATGTCAATTAAATAAATATTATCTTTTAGCTTATATATCTTATGCACGCACACCTATATTATGAATTATAACTGTTATATACTCTCTATCAAAATAATTGTCAAATATACTGTATATAATATATAGGAGCTATAGGATTATTATTTAATGATAGGGTTTATTTTTATTTCAATGATTTGTCAATGTATTAAAAATATAGTATAAAGTGGTTTAACGGGTTGTCGA